CCTCAGTAGTGCGTTGCGAAAAAAACAATGGAAAAAAATATTGAACAAAGAGTTTGCATCAAAATTTGTGTTTCGAACGAAATTTCGTGTGCAGAATCGTTGCGAATGCTACAAAAGGCTTATGGGGAATCAGTTTTATCGAAAACTCAAATTTATGAGTGGTACAAAGCCTTTCAGGACGGTCGTACGACCGTCGAAGACATGCCGCGTTCTGGACGACCTTCGACCTCTACCACCGACGAAAACATTGAAAAGGCAAAGGAAATCGTGTTCCAAAATCCTCATGTGAGTGTCAGAGAGATAGCACGAGAGCTAGGCATCGTCGTGAGATCTCGTTTGATTTTGTGGCATTTTTGTATTTCGACGTGTCAACGCTCGGCTTGTCCGGATTCACCTCAATTTTTCCAAATCACCATCGCGACAGGTCTCGTTGAGACATCTTGATCGTCCAACCGATCAACTTCATGAACACGCACATAACTGGTGACGGGAACATGGGTCTACAGTACGACAATGCAAAACAATCCAACAACATCGAAATGGAGAGAAAGACGGAAGAGCCGAAAACCGAAAAAACGCACGTCCAAAGTCCGCCTCGAAATCAAGGCAATGCTGATTGTTTTCTTCGATATTCGTGGTGTGGTGCATCATGAATTCGTCCCTGAAGGACAAACAGTCAATAAAGCCTATTATTTGACTGTTTTAAGACGTTTGCGTGAAAATATCCGCCGTAAACGGCCTCAATTGTGGAAGGATAATTCATGGATTTTTCATGACGATAATGCTCCCTCGCACCGAGCCAACATTATCAACGATTTTAAGGCCAAACATTCAATAAATACCATCGAACAGCCCCCGTATTCACCTGATCTTGCACCGTGTGACTTTTTCCTGTTTCCCAAACTCAAATTACCACTCAGAGGAACGCGTTTTGAATCCATAGAAGACGTAAAACAGAATTCGCAGAGGAAACTCAAAGCCATACCGGAAAGCGCCTATAAAAAATGTTTTGATGATTAATAAACGTTGGCATTTGTATGCGGCTTCTAATTGGAGCATATTTGAAAGGAGATAAATAAATATTGATGAAGATTAAGAATTTTGCGTTTTATTTAAAATTTCCGGAAACTTTTCGGTCACAATGTATATTAAGAATATTATGTGTTAGAAATGATGCTGTGCTAGACACTATACTTGTCTTCTATCTTGCAGCAAAAATAGTATAACCTTGTACTGAATAAACCAAATATTCATAGTTCCTTTTTATCATTCGTGGAAGGTTTATTTTAATTTTAGTTAATTAAAATTATTATAAAATGACCTTCGGAAATTAATAAGATTGTCTTGCAATAATCTTAACTGATTATCGGTAAATAAAATTAAATTTTAAAATGTTAAATTTAAAGTTATCAGTTACCTTTAAAATGAGTTGTTTTATTGCTGATGATTAAATCCAATTATGAAAATGTAATTTTAAAGTTGAAACGCTTTTAACTAAATTTGTTTCCATGGATTATGAGTTTGGATTGTATTTGCGGTTAAAATTGGAAATATTGATGGATAAATTAAACAATGTTATATATATATAACATGTTATCTATAAACATAACACTATTCCACTTTATTCAGCACAGATTTAAGTGATTTTTAAACTATTCTGTATTATGAAATGTATCTTTACTCGTCTTTTATGCTAATTTTGTTTTTGTAGATTTAAGAAAAACTGCAGACAGGATGTGAAGTATGCAATTTCATTGCATGCAATCTTTGATTATCAAAATTTGTGTAAATTTTTGCAATGTTTGCACTTTACAATTAATTTTTTATACTCTGGCAGTTTTTTATTCTCAACAATTTTGTATCTAAACAATTTGGTTTCTCGACACAATATTATTTGTTTATTATATTTGACTTATGTGAACAGATTTGTTTAATTAAGAATTCCAATTTGAATAAATTATTAAAAAATCACTTTTTGTGTGCTGATTTACACAAAATTTAAAATTTAAGAACTTTTAGAATTTTTTATTATTTTTTCAAGAGGCTCATTAGGCCATACAAAGCCTTTATTCGTTGGAACTCATATGACGGTTCAACGGTCTTAGCTGTAAGCTGTTCATGTCACTTTATACCGGGACGACCTTGTGTTTATTTATTTTTCGATCCACTTAAATCATGCAAAGAATGATTTTTACTTTTTCTTAAATTTTTAATTACAGGAAATATATGATATGTTAGGTT